AGACTATTAAATTCTTTTCAAAATTTCTTTGATTTCTTCATTTCTTATATGTACCAGATCATTATAGGTAATTCGTTGGAAGTTATATGCTTTTTCAAGTCCACATTTTTCTAATAGCTGGTGAATTCATTTTCCAAGAAGAAAATATCTTCTGATTGAAGTAACTCCTTTAGATTATGCCATTTCTCTTTGTAGTTCTATTAATTTTCAAGAATATTATCTAGACATTTCTTTAAGTAATTGTCCAAAATAATAATATCTAATGAATTACAATTCATCAGATTGATTATCACGATTTTCAAATAGATCATTAAAGATTATCTGAACTCTTGTCTTTCAGCTTTGATCAGGTCGAAATTGATAAGTAATATTTGCTGTGATTGCTATTCTCAAAATTTCTGTATTAATTATATTCACAAACTGTTGTACTCTAAAACTATTCTGTAGATTACTTGTTGAAGTTGATGCTTCTTCTACTATAGATTCTGGTTCTTGTGATGTTTTCAAAATCATATTGGTGTTGAGTTGTCTTCTAGTAATAAGGTCATAAATAACTTTCTGACTACTGTCTTCAAGTATTAATTGATCTTCTCAAATTTGTAAAGTTCTATTAAATTCATTATTTTTTAATTGTTGGTGAAGGATCAATATATTTTGAATAAAATCAAAATTATTAAAAAGAGTATTCATCTTTAAAGAGTTAAATACTAACAAGAAACTAAATTAATTAATAAGGATGTAAAAATAATTAAAAGTGATAAAAATTTAGAGAAAATATCGAAGGAAAAGTCCTATATTTATAATAATAAAATTTTTAATAGGTGATCAGCATGTACACATGCATGTACTACTAAATAAAATTTGTATAAATTAAGAGGTAAATAAATAAATATCATGAGACTAAAAATTTATTCTTCATTTTCTTCTTCTGTTATTGGTACTTCCATGTGTTCAATAATTATTTTTGACTTAAAGTATTCTTCTTTACTGTAATAAGACTTCAGTTAAGTATCATTAAAAGTTTTGCATAATAACTGGTCATGTTAATTTCACAATTTGTAAGCTTTATTGCCAAGAGTTTCATAAATATAGAATCATTCTGTACTCTATTATAACTGAAATTTATTTCCATGAGTAATATATTATTTCATCTTGTATATTAGAACTTTATCTCCAATTTCAAATTGTGTGATTCTTTATAATTTTGAGTCATGTCTTTCTTTCATTTATTATTACTGTCTTTTGATTCAATTTTATACTGTATTAATATTATCTGATAAATAATGAATTAAAAAGAATATTTGATCTAATATTTCATCTTCTTCATTTTTATTTTCTGCTATTGGTGATAAATATTTCAAATTGATTGGTAATCAGATATCTCTTTCATAGATTAAGAAGAAAGATTTATGCTTGGTAATATTATTTTGAAGTGTCCTGTATGCAAATAATAATAGTATGTACATATCTCATTGTTCATTTAATATAATACAATATTTCTGAAGTATTTTACATAAAGTTCTATTAAATCATTCTACTATTCTATTGATCTGTGAGTAATAGGATGATGAAAACTTGTGTTTAATTCCAAATCAAGTAGTGAGTTCTTCAATTACTTGAGCTGTGAATTCAGTTTCTTGATCAAACTGTAATTCTTTAGGATATTTATATCTATAAATTATTTCTTCAAAAATAAATTTGGTGATTATACTAGCTTCTTTGTTTGGAATTGCTTTTGCTTCAGGCTATTTTGTGAGTGAATCTATTGCTACAGCAATATATCAATTTCTTTTCTTGATTACTTTGCAAGAGCTAACAAGATTGATTACAATTCTATCAAAAGGTTGTCCAGCTTTAATAGGATGTAGTAGTTATTTTGTTATTTGTCTACCAGTTCTTTGATAAGTTTCACAAGATCTAACAAAGTTCTTTATATCTGTTCCCATTCCATTCCATCAATATTTAATATATAAATGTTAATAGTGCTTTGATTATCAATTCTTCTTATACTTATTTTTATTCACCATTAATAGAAAAAAATGTATCATTTAATAGCAGTTATTAACTGAATAATAGTATATACATACAGTTATTTTGGCTTTATATTAAATCAAAGTCCAAATTTAGTATATTATTTAACATCCAATCATAATAATTACACATATTTGATGATTATGAGACTAAACTTATCTAATGAAATGTGATGGCTTATGTGGCTCATAATCACGGAACTGCTAATTATTTTCGACATCACTAAGTTATTATAAATATTGGATACACGTCAAGATGTATAAGCCTACTGCTAATGGTATTCATGGACATGCCAAACTTATCAATGGAGTTCATACAGTTTTCTAAGTTGGCTTTATCAATCAGATTTTGGTAATCCTGCTGATATATCTCCCCACTTTAAAAAAACTGATCTGGATATTGGATCCCATCTGTCTAACAATTCCCCAACTAATTCAAGTGTGAACTCTTCACCTCAGTTATTTTTCTTGTTCTTGTATTGAAGAGTCCAAAGTGCAATGATTTCTTCGAGTTTCCAAACTGGCATGAAATATTTAGCAAATCCTGGCCATTTGACAGCCTCATTAAATCTTTCCCCCCTTGATGTGAGCTGGATCATATAGGCCTGATAATTAAATGTCAAAGCTTGCGCATCAACTATAAGGAAGTTATTAGGGCTATTCAGTGTTCCGTCAAACAGGTTAATATCCCCTTTTTGCACATTATCATTAGGTAAGAATCGATAGCAAATTTTTTCGTTGTATTGCCAGACTATTGTAGCCTCAGGAAAATTGTAGCGAATATAAAAGAGAAGATATAGACCAAAATATTTTTTTCCAATACCAGGAGTACCAGTAATCGTGCAACCAGCAGAGGCTGGGCCATTTGATTTGCGATCCGTTTCAATTAAGTCGAATAACTGCAGATAACAGTTCCGTATAAGAAGCTTCGATCCATAACTTTTATTTCCCAAAAAGAACACACCATC